AGCTGAAAATGTCAGGGCAGGAAATAGGTTTTGCTGACTGATTACAACTTTCACTATTTACCAACTAATATGAGCAAAGTCTTCTGTCACAATGTGTAAATGTAGCGTTTGTAACAGCAATAGTAATTTTGAATATTTCCTTGAAATGTAACGCATAAGGCCAAGGTAGTCAAAGTTGTTCATCACATGCAAAAATCAAATAAATCCAATATTACCAGTCAAGAAAGGGCTTCAGTGACTTGCAAAAGTATCTGCCATAAACAGGGCAGATTTAATCAGTGATATAAACACATTATATCAGCAAACTCAATACCAAACAAATGGAAATAACAGTTTTTAACTCGCTTTCCAAATGAGCAGAGCTGTCAAACATTATAGCTACCAAAGTTAAAAGTAGCTAGAATTTTGTTCACGTTAGTGTTAATTTCCTTCCCTGTATTTATATTTGATTAGGAAACTATTATATTTCTATGTTGGAGGGCATAAATGACCATATGCTTTGAGGTGTCGAATTTTAGCACCAGAGAACGAAGGCATGTGTGAAGCCTAAACAAACTAATAAACAATAACATTATCAAAAAATTATAATTACAAATATGTCAAAACATACTTAAAACACAATGAGGTCCATTTATCATTGCTGGTATTCTGAAGTGAATGGCCAGTGAATCTCATCAGTTCAACACCAGTCAGACACTGCTTTGTCAGAGATGTGGTGATGTCTGGATATTTTGCTCATGTGTGAGATGGAGCGCTCAGCTCAGTCTGGCTCTCTGCTCTTGTCCTTGTAGAGATGCAGCACCTCCATCTTCCCCTGCAAATAGGAGACGGGCATGGAGCAACCTCGGGCTCTCTGAGGCAGCATGTTGACCTGGAAAATAAAATTTACCATAGAGATAACTGTACTTAAATATTTAACTGAAAAGCTAAATGAAAAGACAATAATTGCAGGAAAAGTATGTAAAGGTTTTCATTTGGAGAGAGATGTTAGTTTTGAATTTGTCAAATATGTCTCGAATTATTCAGTCCGCCAAAACAAAATTCCATTCACCTCCAATGTACGTAATAACTCCAAACTATGGACTCTCAGTTCTCTGCCCTTAAACTGTGAAGCTCTCTGGTGCTTAGTAAATCTGAGTGTACCAGCCGAGCTTAAACAACCGATTGTACTATGTGTCTGAAATCTACATTAAGGAGAGGCTTTTTAAAGCACATTTACACTTTAAGCAGCCAGATTCATCATTTATTAGCTCCTGTAAGCTACTGAAATTGTTTAACTGAAGTGAAGCACTGCTGTAAACCATGTGGCTTTTCTGACCAGTCACCCTGATGTAGACTGATATACTGATGTTTGACTGTGGTGTAAAAATCATACAAAAGGCCAGGAAAGATCAAGCAATCCTGTTCACCTGTGTGACCGTTCTGTATAGACTACCACCCCGTCTCACCTTTCTATCTGGAGACTCATGTACGTGAGAGTTGTGGTTGTTGCCCCTCTTGTCCTTTTTCTCAGGTGTCCATACTCCAGGATCCGTCTGAGTGGAGCGGTCTGACAGCGTCGAATCACTGTTATTTCTCCAAACAGTGCCCTTGTTGTGTTCTGGCTCACTAGCTTGGGGGAAAACAAAGGTCTCCTCCTCTGAACCTGACAGAGAACATAAGATATCTATGTACTGGGTTCAAGCTCATTTAGGGAGGAGGTTTTTTTGTTTTTGTTTTTGTTTTTGTTTTAAACTGTAGATGATGGAGAAAGGACATACTCCAGCAGTTGCCCTTGGTTTTTGAGTCGGGGGCGGGGGTGCACGGGCAGGAACCAGTTGTGTTTTTGTGTTTCTTCAAGCACTCCTTTCCCACCAGATCCCTACAGTGTCTGTGGCAGTTTACCCCACAGTCTGAAAAACAGAAAAAATGTTGACACTTTGATGGAAACCCTAGTGCTTAAAGGATCTGTTCACTCAAATTGCAAACCATATTCCTTATTTACTCCTGGCTGCAGAACTCTTAGAAACACATATTTCAAAACCTGGACCCAAAGTATCTACATGGCAAGATGGAGTAAAAAATATTTTTTGTAATTGCCTGAACTGGGTGGCACAGCAGCATGGTGGTTAGCGCTGTCGCCTCACAGCAAGAAGGTTCCAGGTTTGAGCCAAGGCTGACCTGGGGCTTTTCTGTGTGGAGTCTGCATGTTCTCCCTGTGCCTACGTGGGTTCTCTCCGGGTACACCGGCTTCCTCCCACAGTCCAAAGACATGTAGCTTAGGTTAACTGGTGACACCAAATTGCCTGTAGGAGTGAGTATGGGTATGTGTGGTTGTCTGTCCCTAAGTGACCTGTCCAGGGTGGACCCAGCCTCTCGCCCAATGTCAGCTGGGATTGACTCCAGCAGCGCTATTCAGGAATAAGCAGTATAGATAATGGATGGATGGTTGAACTGACCCTTTAACTTATTTAGCCTCATATTGGACAAAACCCTGCTCTGATGAAGCTGAAGACTCTTGGATGAATGTTGAAATCATGTAGATTTTGATCTTAGAGGTTCATTTGTGTCTTTATGTTCTTACCTTTACAGTGATAGCCCTGTTTGATGACTCCCCACAGCTACAAGAGGGCAGACATGATACATTACATATTACAGTCTGACTGAGCATGAGCATTTATATAAAACCATAAACATAAACAATGGATACTCACAAAGCCCCCACATGTGTCACAGAACGTCGGCCGTTTGTACGTAGTTTCATGGAAGTTATGTGCGTCATTGAAGTTGTAGCCCAGCTTGGCACATACAGACATTCCCCTCATGAAGTAAGAGGTGATTTCCTCACGGCTTATTTGTCCCTCCCTGAGTACAAAATGTTCCATAGTGCAACACAAAAGTGTGTAAATGAGTTGAGTTTTTTTTAAATCCATTCATAACTCATGTTGTTTCATGGTTTCTCTATTTTGCAGCCACGTGATGGTGAGAGGCCTTTGTGCGTGTTGCAGCTTCCTCACCTGTCAGTTTCATGAGTGCAGAAGGAGAAGGGGAAGTTGGCTGCTATTTTCTCAAAGTCCTCCAGTGAAATGTAGCCATCCTGGCTCTGGTCGTAGTTCTTCATTATGGACTGCAGGGGGCAAGAGAGAAATCAGATGTTCAGTTACACTTGTCAAGCAGCAGTTGATTAGTTCTGCTTTAGCCTGCCAAGTAATAAGGAAGTGAAAGACAGGAGGTTGCTGCAGTGTCACATACTCACATCCACCATTTGTTTGACATGTTTTGATATGGTACCGGGGTCGAGCCTGGGGGTCACCCCTGAGCCCCACTCTGCAACTACTGGCGGTTTAACTGGAGCTACAGGCTGTTGACCAACAGATGCAGTGATGAGACACGAAGGACTGTGTATGTGAGAAACAATAAGAAAAAAAGAGCACACCCACCACATAATACGCTTCGCTAACGTACAGCACTTTGATGTGGCTGACTTTGATGTATTTCAGCACTGTGTGCTTTTGTTTTGAAAGTGTTACACCCACAGAAAGTACAAAAATGTCTCCCCTATTGTGAAAAGAGGTTTAAATACGTGTGAGCCTGATAGTGGTGGACAGTTCTCAATAGAATATGTGGCTCTACTGACCTGGATCTTGGGGTTCTTGGGCTCCTTGGTGTATGAAAGGTCATATATTTCATCCTCAGTGTAGTACAAATCTAGAGAGAGCTGAAGCATTAACAAAAAAAACACAATTTCAGATGCTCTTTGTGAAATCTTTTTATCTGAATTCTCAGAAATTCTCATCCTCATTTCTATCTTGTACCGTGAGCAGATGCAGAAGGTCTTTGTTGGCCTCAAAGGGGGGTGTGCAGCTGTGAATGGCCAGCAGGTCGTTGATGTTGCTGTACAGATGCTGCAGCTTGCTCAGGTTGATCTTGTCCTCATCTATGTAATCTGGCAGGGCTTCGTTCAGTGAGATCAGATCCTTCAGGTGCACACCCAGGATTGGCACCTTGAAGCCGCTGCAGTCGTTGTAAAGACGCCGGTAGTTGCTGTAGTTGCTGCGTGAGGAAAGCAGCTCTGTCATCTCACTCAGAGCCTGAAAGTGGATGGAGACAGAAATAACTGGGCCTGTCAAGTGACTGTAATTAGTTATTTAGATTTTAGTGTAACAATTAACAAGATAAAATGCAAATGAGAACATTTGCTAAAAAAATATTCTTTATACAATTCTGTTAACACATAAATATATTTTCAGGCTAGTATGCAATATAATGAAGTCTTTGTTCATTAAGCCTATGAATACTGACTCTGGATCATTTGTGCTATGTTAAAATTTTACAAAAAAAAAAGTTAATTAAAAATTTTACTAAAAAAGCTCATGGGTTTGAGGACATACAGTTGCTGTACATGTCTGCCATTCTGTTTATAGAGAAAATGTATTGGCCTTACATTAAACTTCATGTTAAATTATTTCTGTGGATAATGTTATTTTAGTTAAAGTAAAATGTAAAATGTCACGTATATCAAATAAATCTCCTACTTGCTGCTATACCCAAACACATCGATCCTCTCATATAACACGATAAACTTCAGCAAGGAGATTTACTCAAGAAAGAAAAGTTTAATTGTGATAGGTTTGTGGTGAGTTAGTCATCAACAGACTGTCTCATGGTTATGTGCAATACTTAAAATACCTTAGTAATATCAGGAGGGAGCAGGTTAGAGGTGTCTTTGAGGCGGGAGATTGAGCTGTGACAGAGGCCTCCAGTTACAGCCATTAGAGTGTTAAAGTTTTGCAGAGCACGAAGTTTCTACAGAGGAAATAGCAGAGTGAATAACAAAGGGATACGAAACAGCACATAGCAACAGAAACAGAACCCAAGAAGTTCAGCTCTTGGCAGTCAAACTAAAATGCATCCGAGCTTCTCAGTCAGGTATGCGATGTTTGATCCTTCAGCCAGTTTACCTGAGCCACATGAATGAACTTGGTGAAGACCTGCGCTCTCTGCTGCGCTGTGTGTTTGCTGAGGATCATCAGCTGGACCCACTGGGAGACTCCATTGCACATCATGACCGACCGCTCCAGTGCAGGGTTGTCCCTCACCGAGCCTCGCACCACGTAGCTGCGGTAGTCCAGAAACTGGCCAAGCAGAACGCAGTGGTCAGGCAGCAAACAGCTTGGCCCACAGGTGGCTGAGTTTAACCGTGTTTTTACTCAAGTGTAAAAGAAAGACTGAAAAATAATTTAACCCAACCACTTTTATCGGTTTCACCATCCAGATACTGTAGCTGTACTAGCTGCTGTTGACTGTGAGCAGATCATATCATCTACTTCAAACTGTTTTTCTGCTGAAGGCAAAAGCAATTCTCCTACATCTGGAAGGAACACCTTACCCGACTTCTCAAAGCAAAGACATATTAACACTTTCTAATAACACTGGCTCTATAAAGGGTGTCTGGACATATAGGTATTAATAGGTAAATGGATTTTGGTACGGCTGTCCTGTTGCTCTTGTCTTTGGTAAGTGGTATCATTAGATCTTTCTGATGAAATGCTTGAACATACTAAAAACACAAAGCTGCAGGAGATATTATACACCAACCAAAGGCATTCCTTATATTCTCATAATGCAAATGGCTTATTACTGATACCAAAGATAAAAAGTCTTAAGTCAGTGGAAGATGTGAGCCATAACCTCTCTGTCAGAGCACTGCTGACACTAGTGAGGTCTCCTCAAAACTCTCACAGTCTGACATTTCATTGAATCCACAGCTGCATCAACCATAAGACATATAAAGTGCCTCCATTTACAGTTTACTTTATCTTAAATGTTTCTGCTTTGCTGTCAGGTGATGTTTTGGCTATAAATACAGTTTCATGTCTTTCAGTATCATGTCAGTTAAGTGTGGTATTGAATATTTATGGTTTATACTTTCACCCATTGTGTTTGTTTTGGGAGCAGCAGCGTGATGAGGCTTCGAAAAGCAAAGTAAGAACAGTGAGTGTTGGAAAGTTGTTCACTGAACTTACTGAGACATTACAGAAGTTCTTAAATTCCAGATAGCTGAGATGTTCAGCCATTTCATCTGACTCCATGTGGTCGAAGATCAATGACACCTTCCTCTTCTTCACAGAGGATGAGGGTGCCTGGGATATGTTCCCATGAGGGCTTCTAGGACAAGAAAGCCAAGCAACAGGACAAAAATAGACAGTTTTTCTATTTAGAGAAAAACGTGTTTGAGTTGTGGTTAAAATAAGCAAACTACAGTTTCTTCAAGGCATGCTGGTGAATCAAAGCAAAACATGGCTCACAAGCAAGAAGTGTCGTTGAGCTGCGATTGCGTGTCCTCTCTGTCTGACCGTACCAGTGCCCACAGGTCCCCCATGGTTTGCTCGAGGAGGGGGTCTGCCTCGAACACCGCCGGGAACTGGCTGATCCACTGCCTTGCCACCAAGCAGGACAGAAAATATGTTTACTACCCACAAATAGAGCAGAATAACCAGCTCTGTCACACGGTCATATAACATGTTCATGTAACTGGTGTCCTTACTCACCTGACAAGGTGGCAGATCTGTGTCCACTTCAGTCCTCTCTTGTCCAGCGGACAATCCTTATAAGTGAGAGAAAGAGTCAAGGATCTAGTGTGCAGACATGGCACAAGGTTACACCTAACAACATGTATAATCGCTTTAAATCTGCTTTAACAACCAGCAGCGCAGAACAAAGCCATGCCTGTCTCCTGATTTGATAAATGATTAGAAGCAGTGCACTGGTGGGACCAGAGCGATGCACTGAGTGACAATGGAGGATATAGGGTGAGAAGTTTCTGGGCAAATGTCTGAGATGGCACAACCCAGCTGTGCATCATCAGGGTCATATGGACCAGCTGGGACCCCCTTGGGCTGCAGAGTTTCCCCTCTGAATCTGCAACAAAAAACACAGCAGCACATTTCATATGAGGATCAATATGGTTAGAAACAACAACAACAACAACAAAACTGTGGGCTGCACCATGTCTCTGGTCAAGCAGTCCATTTCAGTCAGTCAGTTAGTTCTACTTCAGTGGCTTCTAGAGCTTCATTTTTCGTTTCCTCTGGTGGCTTTATTTGTCTGTCACATTCTGGAAACATGCAGCTGAGGTGCACTGGAGATTTTAAATTTCCCCTGAGAGTGACTGTCTGTCTGTGCAACCTTGTGAACAAAAGACAACCAGGCGTTTTCCTGCCTTTCACTGCAGCCAACTGCAGTGTTGAGTTTAAATAAGCAGACAGGACATAAAGAATGCAACTTGTGTCTCTCACTGGTTTATTTAAGGGTTGCAGGTAAAATGGGCCAAAGTTCAAAAGTACTGGCATGTGAGTTTCACCTGCTTATTGTCACCTTTAACTAATCTGCCAAATCAAACCAAGAAGCAGTGGAGCTTTTACAGAAAAGCATGTACGATATTTGCCTGCAGTGATTATCTCTCTATTTATTGAAACATATTCATGCATGTGCTCTCACAAGGAATCACGGGTTTCACTTTGTAGTTGCAACTATTCACTATAATGCATATTATTATAAATCACACAAGTTGCTTTTTAAGTTGATATTGTCTGTTAGGTTTTTATATAAATTCCTTATTGGTAATACTTTTACATTTAACGTACTTTAAAGTTAAAACTAAACCACCACCCCATAAACCAACTAGCAAACAAACAAATTCCACTTCTTACTAGTGCTATCTGAAAGCTCACGTATTTTGGGGTTAAATGTTTATTTCCTTTGCTCAGCCGTGGGTTTCATATAACACAATTTAACAGCAGCGTCTCTTGTCCTGGCTACAAATCTTTGATTAAAAGAGTTTCCTAGAAAAAATCAGATCACCCAGGACATTGTTTCTGCATGTTGCTGCTGAGTTTTTCAAATGCCATTCACCATTACTGTGGTGATGCTGCTGGACACATTACAAACCATCTGTACAACAGCTTCCACTATGGATATCTGGGCATGGCTTTTGTAGTTTTGGGGAGCTACCCAGTGAGGACAGTGAGATTACAGAAAGAGAGCCACAGAGGAGAAAGATTGGTATAGTTTATCAGTGCATGAGAATAGCTAGTTGGCTTCTGCAACCCAACAGAACAAAGCTGGTTTGTATGAGGCTACCCTTTGTCTCCATCACTCCCTCCCTCTCTGTCTGTCTCTCTCACCCTGGATTCCCCTTGCACTCTCCCTCATTTATATAACCTGGTTGTGATAAAGACCTAACGACACATGACAAACTTTGAGAACACATGCAAACATATACATGTAGAGACATTGGACTGACCAAAGCAGTTCAGGCAGCGCTGTATGAGCTCATCTAGGCTGGCAGCACTGGCACTGGGAGCAGAGCTGGGGCTCTGCAGGGCCCGGCTGATGTCCTGAGGACTGGGGCATGTATTTCTCCTCCGCTGGACCAGCTTCCTGCTCTTCAGCACAGCAGGGCTCTCGCTGGGCTTCCTGGTGAGGTGGGGGGCAGAGACAGAGAAAAATAAATAGAGCAGTGAGGTAGTGCAGGACAGCATCTGAGGAAATGCAGCTACCCACATCTGATAAGCTGCGCTACAGCGCTGCAGCAGTCTGAGTGATCACGAACAGGCAGAAAACCTGCAACCCCCTGCACAGCATTCTGCATTCACCTACCTGAGACCACCGGGCAGACAGATAACGGTAGAATTATCTAGAAAATCTTAATTACTTGGCAAATAGATCACAGATTTGGATTAGTGTGGGGGTGGGAGTTTGTTCTGACATTCTGTAGACCACCTTAAGAGCAAGAGAATTAAGAATTGGCCCTGCTGTGGACGGGTGTAACACATTTCTACTTGGTCTGTGTTTTGGAGAAGGAGTTTTGATGCACATCTATTATACATTTAGTCCTAAAGGTTATTACAGTTCTAATTACTATTTTAACTCCTAGCCTGAGTTTAAAACCCAACCAATGCAGCTGTGTTTTATGAAGGTTAAATTACATGTGGCCATTTTGATAGAGCTACAAAAGTTCTGGTCTAACCTGCCAGTAATTGATCATTTCCTAATGCTTTTAAACAGCAGCTACAGTATCTCCTGAAAATTGGAAAGGAAGGCTGAAAAAATACAATATTACATCACATTTGTATGACTTCAGTACTACAATACATTGTACATGTAACAGCATTAGTCACCCACAGGTTCCTCAGAAAACCAGTTCTTTTTAGCGCCTGATATGTATTTACAAAACACAGCACAGCTTGTGGCAGATAGCCAGCATTTTCTGTTTTACAAGAAAATACATAAGAAATGTATGAATGCTGTTTACAGTGGTGTTACCCAATGCAAATGTTTTTGAGGATGCTGAGAAATGCAAACGGAAAGACCAGTATGATGTACTTAATGTAAGTTCTATTAAAAATCTCTCTGATAAGGAAAGTCACGACTAAGTATGCAACCTATGAGAACTGGACATTGTTTTAGGGATCACCATTAAGTCCACAAGGCTGGGGACCACTGATGTATGACAGTGTTGATGCTAATTGTGTTTCCATTGACTCTCAGTGAACCTGGACTTTATAAATTGCTTACGGTTGGACACAGCGTATAGACCCCACTCCCTACACTGAAGCTGGATTGATGTTGAGCAATGTCAAGTGCAAAAAAACTTTCAACCAGTGTAGGTCAAGAAGCAATGCTTATTTTCTGGAGTGTTAACACTAAATTATTCTTTAAGGACTTTTTAAATACTCTTAAAATGAGACTTCTTTGTTTCATGATATGATTAATGCTTCCTCTTCAGATCAGGGGCTCAGTTCAGTAATGTAACTGGATTTCACAATAATTTACTGTTTTTATACATTTTACATAAAAACTGATATTTGCTTCAGTATTACAAAATGGGGGAAATGGTTTGATTCACAGTTCTGCTGTTTGAAATGAAACCTGATCATCGCATGTGTGTGTTGCCGTCTTTTAAAAAAGTGATAACACCTTCAGCATTTTGCTTGACTGTTTCAGACCATCTGTACAGTTAGTGTGCACCACGTAACACCACAAAACTGTGTCAGTCTACTGCAGCTAATGTGATAACCTTACCAGGAAACACAGCAAGTTCAGAGAACTTGTGACAAGTTCCCTGACCAGAACTACACCCCCTTCTCTTTAACTGTATTTGTGTATGTGGCTCATTTTCACAGCCCACTCACATTCACATAATGCATAACTTAACATACACATTCATCCACACTGCAGTCGTACAGAAGCATTAGCCTTGCTTTTATGTACAACAAATTAAAAGACACTCATGGATGCACATTTTCATACAGGTGTACAGGGTGACATTCACTCAGCTATTTATACCACAAGCTGCTCGCCTGCCTCTATGTGCTTTTCTATCCAACCGTCACAGTTTTCACTCCACACATTTCTCCCTCAGCCATCAGGAAACCTGATGGGGGGTGTCAGCAGCAACCCCATGTCTCCTTGCATCCTTGCAGTCCAGCTCCAGGTGGCTGGGTTGGAAACCTGTCAGGCAACAAAACCCTACCTCTCCTCCTCCTTGTTCTCGCTTCATTACACTGGATGGCTACTGAACTCAAAATACTAACACTAAACAGAACAGCATGTACCACTGTGAACTATTTTATATTAAGTCTATGAAAGCCCCACAACACATGAAAGTCTTAGTGGGAGAAGTCAATCAAGGTGCCTGGGTTCATTTTATCTGTATATCACCTACTGTATTACACTTGTCCAGTGAAGACTTTCAATCTCAGTCTTACTCTTACATCTTCAGTTTCAGAAATCATTAAACAATGTCAAAAAGACATTTGCATCAACCTGAAAGCAAAAATTGTTTCCTGTGTTTCTTAAAACTTTTATCTGACATTTAGCTGATTTCTAGCTTCTTGCAAATAAACCCTTTTTTGGTTGTTCAGGAGGGAACTTAAGTATAAGCAACAGATGTTCTCTTCCCACAATTTCCAGCTCTGGTAGGAGATTTGTTAGCCCCTAGACCACTGTGCCACAGAAAGCTGCTTCAAATTCACATTTATATGACTTAATATACGAATTAACAGCTTCAAATTGTGATTACTGTCATTATTTAGTAAAACATTCATTCTTTTTTGGTAAAAACCATCAATAAACTGCTATCATTTATTCCCAGGGCTCAAGGTGAAGTCTTATTTGTGTTGTTTTGTATGACCAGCAGTCTGAAACCCATAGTATTTCCTGTTTTACAATGATGACAAAACAACAAATATTCTAATGAATAAAATAAAAAATGTCGGCCAATTAACTTCCCAACTTCTAATTGATGTTTTTTTTTTTTATCTCTGTGCCCTTTACAACTTGTCATCTTTCTCGCTGACTCAGAATGAATCTAGCAGTCTGAGGAGCCCTCATCGCTATTACAAACAGAAGTGCTGAGAGGGAAATGTTATTGATGTCATGATGTTTGTCGGGAATTCCCCCCAGAGTGCTGAGCAGGTACAGTAACACACAGTACAGCAGTCAATTATAATTGTACTGCATAATGAGCCTGGCCTGCTGAAGTGCTGTTGGTAAATAGGGTCTTTGTGAAGTGGGCTCCAATGCAAATCTGAACACAAATGGACATTGTTTGGACATTTGCATTCACCTTTTTCTAAAAGTCAGATACACAACAAAATAATTACCCGTCTATATGTAACAGCACACCCACTGAAACCTATGACTGCTGGAACCTAACAGTGAAAAAGGAAATCCTTATATGCATGACAATGAGGAAAAAATCCCTGAGTAGTCTCTCTCTCTCTTTAATATTAATGAACTTGGGTTGAAATATTTTGTTTTTGGAAGACCCTCCTTTTCCTCCCAAACTCTTCCATCATCCACTTTCTTCCTCTTCCTTCATCCTTGCTCTACACAAGCCATTTAGGAAACCGCTTCTCCTTCTTTTCTTTGGAAATCTCTCTTTCAGTCCCTTTTCCATCTGTGTCAGGAATCCTGGCTGCAGATCCCCCCACCCCCCCGTGTCTCGCTCTCACACTCATGGGGGGATATGCAAATTCCTCTCTTTCTTTCCTTAATTGATTAATTGAAGCCAGGCCTTGTTTGTGAGCTGCTCTTTTTCTCTCGCTGTCCCCTCTCACAACCTGTGTTCTTGCTTTCTCTGCATCAAGGGGATGCAGCTACTGCAATGATGATTTGGGCCAACATGAAGCCACTGCACTGGTCATTGTAGTTACCATCAGAAAACATCCAGCAAACATCCAAAAACCTCTGGCAAGGCAGAAGGACTGTTTGGCACTGCAGCCATGAATCACTTAGCCAGAAATCACACCTGTTCTACTACACATACCTTCAGTTTCATTGCAAACTCACTCACATGCACACACACACACACACACACACACACACACCTCTTACCATAACCTAAACCTAAACCCTTCAACTTATTTCAACCTATTTCCCTTAATAATTAAAATTGTATTTCATGTTTCATTTTAATATATGAATTTGGCTATGTGTGTGTGTATGAGTGCTTGTATAGTCAATCATTTGTGTATATTACCAAAACTTAATGTTGGCCTTATGTGTTCTAACTGCTACTATTAAGTAATCTCAGAAAGCTCAGTAATGTGGCCATTCCATCAGTCCACCTTAAACTACGGTAGCTAATGCATAACCTACATCTGACTACCTTAACATTCAATGCATAACTCTTTCATTCCAGGCAATCTGATAAGCACTGTGGTCACACATACAGCAGTATGGAGCAAACAGAAAAGCACAAGACACTTCTGTGGAAAGGTGAGCAGTAGTAAAATGCAGAAAACACACACACCAAGCGGAAAATAAAAACTAAATGTCCTCATTTCTCTTCAACTTGTCAAAAGCCTTTGCAACAAACCACAATGCATCTCAGTTATAACCTCAAAGTTCATACTTCTCTGCTGCACACAAAGCACTTGCTGCTGACACATACGTAAACTCACACTTCACAAGAAACTGAGCTGCAACTGGGTCTGGGTGCGCCAGACTCTCAGTCTTAATTCACCCTCTTTTTTTCCTTTAAATTACCTCTTGGCTTTGTTCATTGCAGAGCTCTTCTCCTCAGCGGCACTCCTCCTCCAATGGTGATCCACACGGGCATCTGAGCGTGTCCCTACAGCTCCATGGTTGACCCTCCTTCTCCTCCTCCTCCTCCTCTGTGTCCTCTATGTGTTTCTGTGATCAGGACACCAAGAGCGGGCACAGGACGGAGAACAACTGGGGGTGAGGGCTACCCACCTACCAGTCATCAACTAGTCTAAACTCCACGCCTAAACTCTGCTCATCAAACCCCCCTGTGTATCAGTCAACCAGCCTCGCTCTCTGCTATCTGAAGATATGATCAAATTAGCAACAAAGCAGACATGTTAAGAGAAAAATTCTCACACAAGCTTCAGAGTAGAGTGCAGGATCATACCCTTCAACATAAACAAGTCAGCGTCTTATATGGAGGAACTGGCTTTGACAGATAGGGGAACTCATCAGTTTTTGTGCTTGTGCGTGCACAAGGGGGAGGGGAGAGAAAGCGAGAGAGACAGAGAGAGTGAGAGAGAGAGTAGTGAACATAACTGTATTACCAATAGAGGAGGGGTAGAATTGGAGAGTGAAAATGATAAGTAGTCATCTGAGCACCATCACTGTATTCCAGGAAGCAACATCTGTGGTTCATTTTTAGATCAGCACATACGCACTCACACTAAAATAGGCCACACCTAAACGTCACTTTTTGATAAAGTCTTTTGGGGTGTCTCCTGAACTTGGGAAAACAATCAGTGCCTGAAAATAAATCATTAGATGTGTGATAACGTTGTTCAAAAGTGACTCACGCCTCCCTACTAGATTTTTTCATCCACGGTATCCAGGGTCCCCCAAATTGTGTCTATCATCCTGATTTCTTCTTTTTCTTCTTGTTTTAAATTCCCTCTGTTATTTCTCAGGGTAGCAAGTGAATACACAGGGAGGTAGTGTTTGTGCTTGTGAAAGTGGCTGTGCAGCTGGACAGGGAGACTCAAAGGCATCCTTGTTTTAACACACCAAGAGGAAGAGGCGACCAAACAGAGGACATTAATGTCCCCAAGTGTGCAGAGGTGGCTATTTTGCTGCAGGAAGCTGACTGGCTGGCAGAGACAGGTGGTGATAAAGCATTCAGAAGCTGGGAAAGATGCACAGAGCATGCAAGGCTCCTGCATCCATTGCATGCCAAGTCCAAATAACCTAAATTGCATTTGAATTGACATTAGAAAGGATAACACTGAAGAACTTAAACAGGGAACAGGGAAATGTCAGTGAATTGGGTAATCTTACTGTAATCTTAAGCAATATATTTTTAAAACAGGAAGTTACAATCAACTCAGATAGTAAACTCAAGACCATTTGACACATGCTCTAAAAAAGCCAATGACCTCTTTTTTTAAAATCATTCAACACCATAAGGATTTTTACTATTGCACTGCGACTGTGAGTCTAGAGGACTCTCATGTATAAACATTTAGAGTATTATATGGCTTTTACTTTTATAATCCTGTAAAAACGGAAGTGTCATTAAAGGTAACGAAAAATGAGAAGAAGGGTAACTCACGGAGCTCATATTTATTTTCTTATGTTCATTAACTTTTGTCTGTTAACTTTTTAGCTCTTGTCAGCAAAGTAATGTAACTGGCGTAACGTTAGCTTTACGTTACAGTCTTTCGGGAATATCATTTGCTATATTTTGTCTTAACTAGGCTTCCACTCAAAGGGCCAGTACAGTAAACTGCTTTAGACCACAGCCTAGACGTTGTTCTACTATTAGAGCTGTAGAGATATTGCTAATTCTCTATCACCCTGGAGTCACAGTAGAAGACGGCATCCTTGTTGTATTTCTCGGTACAATGTCGCCACCTTCAGGTACCGCTCCGACACTACATGTAAGGCGGATTAATGAGATGGCAAAAATAAATAATAATAATAATAAAAAAACAGGACTCATACTCCCAGAATGCATGTTAGTTATGTTTCGTTTCATATCGTCACCTCCTCCTCCTCCTCCTCCCCTTCGTTTTAGCCGGGGAGCGGAGTTGTATCCCGGCGAGCAGCGTCCCAACACATCTTCATCCGCTCCCAGGTGCTGCTGCAGAGAGCATGCTGAAGGATGCTAGATGGAGACCGAGGAGGTAAGGATGCGTGTATGTCCATGCTGTGTGAATACGGGTTACACCGTTTCTATGTGATGCGCTTTTTTTTAGGGTCATCTCTTCTGTCTGGTGCATCCCTGCTGCCTGACATGACCATGAGGGGTGTGCCATTGGCACTCATGGTACTCTGAGAAGATAGCATTTCTGGCCTTGCAGTCTACAAAAATATTTTGTTACATTGTTTATTCATAACATATTGGCCATTTCTTGTCAAGGTATATTTTTTCAGAGCTAAAGAAGACTTAAGAGAATCTTAGTCACACTGTAACGAAACTGACAGGGAAGCTGGATGGAAACCTTTCAGTTTTTAGTTAAATTGTATTACATAATGGCTGCAAGATTAGTATTATTTAAATAGTTATTTGTCTCTAAAAATGCTATTAAAGGTGCCCATCATAATTTTGTCTGCCCAAGGTAACACCTTCAGATTGCTTGTCATGTCTGACCAACTGTCCAGTACCCAATTTGAGTTTTATACAACACAGACAAGTAGGAAATTCTTACAAATTACAGATTTTCCAGATTATCTGATAAACGCAGTGACAGTGGGACAGGATGTGGTGTCTCTCAGCTGTACTCCCCCTCCATGACCCTCTGCTGCCTACAGCCTTTCTGCTGTTATTCCAGCTTCTCTACCCTGTGTTGTTAAAGTACAGTCTGTAAATTAGCCCCGCCTGCCACCTAGCCAAGGTTAGAAGAAGCTTTTTTTGAATCGGGGGTAGTCATTTCAAACAACCATGGAGGAGCTCTCAGCAGCTAAAAGTCTGAACCGGTGGCTGCCAGAGTGAAGAGGCGGTGTCTTTTGCACAGAGAAAGCGGGACAAAGAAAGAGCAAAAACCAGGGTTAACATCAATTTGGCTTTTTGATATGGAGAGGGTTAAAAGCAGATGTGACGTTCTTCTTTTGGTAACAGTGTCCTAGCATGATTTTACCATTGTACTGAGTTAATATCATTTTAATTTGGGAGTAATTTGAGCATTTTGGCTAACGTTAGTGCTTTGTGTCACATTAGTGGTAACCAGTGTTCCACTATAGTCGCTTTGAACTGGAGGGTGCATTTTGCATCATTTGTCACAACCAGGCATCCATAGTTTATGTTGTCGCTAGGAAACAACGGTATGGGAAGGGCAAAGAGTGGCTAGGAGTGGTTTATGATGTCAGTTTGTTTTGAACCTCATTAGACCCTCTAGGTTGAAAAGAAATTAGCTAGAGTAGCTCATTTAAGGTGTGTGTCATCTGTTCCCTAAAAGCTAATCCTCACCCTGTTCCTTTTATAGCCTCAGACATGTGGAAGGAGGGGAGGGAAGTATGTGGGAGAAGGGCAGCCAGGGTGAAGGAGTGGCCCACTTCTACAAACATGGCGGCACAGTGGGATGGTAGTGGCATAAATGTGTAACAAGGTGCCTGCCCCTCTTTCACCCATACTGCCACCCCTCCCTCATCTGGCTGGGGGATGCAAGGCAAGAGGAGAGATGAGCTGGGGAGAGTCTTACCCCCTGTCACTCTCTCTTACAACGCAGTGAGAGCCACAGGACTCATGCTGTCCTCCAGCACACCCACACACACTAACACTGACAGCGAGAGACACTGAGAGAGAGAGAGAGAGAGGGGTACAGCAACAAGAAAGGAAGGAGGGAGAAAGGGAGGGACACAGTGAAGGAGATAAAAAATCCAAATCCTGAAGAGTGAAAACAGAAGGATTTTATCTTTTCTCCTAAGGAGCTGTGAATAACCCTCGGTGAAGGATGGCAGAAGGGGGAGAGGGAGAGGAGGAGATTCAGTTCCTGCGAACGGTGAGTCCTACTTATTTTTTTTTTTGGGAGGTTTTAGCCTGCGCTGGCTGCTCGATAAGACTGTCTGAGGTTTGGGACGAGACAAGGAGATGGGGAGTTGTTAACAGAAGAGCAAAAAAGAAAATGAGATTATTTTTACTTAGGAGAAGAGGTTAATTAACACTCAGCGCTTGACCTAAAACAGACTCTCCCAGCATCAACTTGAACTGTCCATCTGTGCCCCGGTCTCCTAGTTTCTTCACTTTATCACTTCCTGGCAATAGATATTTAAGTCACATCTATAGTTGCAGCTCTCAGAGCCGAGGCCCACTTCTGTATATAGTTGACTATTTCTGTGGCGCCCTGAATGTGCCATGACCTGCTTATTAGGTGCTCTCTTTAAACTTGGTAATTGATTTCATTAATCTCTTGTGAGTGCAGAAATCTCAGGTTGTTAACCTACATTATTCAATCATATTTTGATCTTTTCAGAATGCACTGCTCGTTCTTTTGCTTAATCTCTCCTGTATTACTTCCAGAATGTTCTGGGCTTAAGAATAGGTGAAACAGTGTATGTGTGCATGTGTGTGTGTGAGCACAGATAGATAGACAGGGGCTGGTGCATCTGTTAGCATCGTTACCTATTTATATCTGAGGAAAGTAGAGCCTGTCAGTGTGGGGTGAGGAGGCAGAGCAACAAGCTACCCAGAGCTGCAAGGGACAGCTGGCCAAAGGCTGCATGTCTTCCTCGGAGAAGCCAACACTCCGTCACAGTTCAGACATCCACTTCACTGAGTCTCAAAAGCAGTGGGGGAATAGTCTGAAAATGAACACTGCAAAAGCCTGTGCTTCACTGTAGGCCAACACAGTCTAAATCCGTACAGACCAGATTCAGTTATAGGTATGAAATCAATAATAGTATATTAATGGAATGTTCATCCTTATAAAACATTTTATAACTTAGTGTTGATTTTTAATGAAAATTCACTTTAAATCACAGATTCAGACCATAGACTGTATATGAAGATGGAAGACATGACAGCTCCCAAAAGTGAAGCCAACACAAGTTGATTGCCCCCTGGTGGCCAGTTGCAGTATAGACCATAAACCCTGACCCCTGCATGTTGCAAAGTATAAATCTAATACATTCTTCCCCAAAGTGTTTTCTGTCACTTTAGGTAGATATTGCCACACCAACCTGTGTACAAATGGTCCCTTTTCTGATAACTTCATTTTAATAAGTTATTTGATGATATAAAAATGGAGGTATTTGGGATAATTAGACAGTTTTGATTGGTGTTCTGGTACCACAGCCCCACCTTTGTTTGCTAAATGCATCACAAAAGCAAGATGCAAGGTCCTCTATTTATGATATTTTGGCTTTATCATTATGATACTGCCTGCCATATTTATTACACATGTGCAAAAAAGCAATTTATGGCTGTGTCATATCACCTCACCCAATCATCTTGCCCAAACCTTCCCCACTCAGGAAGTAGCCACATTTCATGCTTGTGTAGAACAAATACAGATTGGGCAACTAAAGGTTTTACTTTTGCAGAGTGGCAGGGAGTAGTGACCTGCCGTCAATCTTTAATATATAGTCTATGATTTAGACAAAATGTCATTTGTGTTGCTATAACATAACAATAAAGCTCAGCGAAGAATAGTACAGAATGTGATTCCTGTCAGGTCTCCAGAGTCAGCTCATAAAAACCACAAGACGGCATTGCAGAGCAACACAGCTGCTGGTTCTATTACAGAACTATAAACATATACAGAACTATAATGCTTCTTTCTTATCTTCTGAAACTTGCTAATGAGTTGTAAGACACGGAGGCTAAACACTTTGAATGCCATCAGGGGGTCTGTCCTTTGTTTCAAGAGGCTTGGTTAGGATGAAACTGTTTGCACTTCAAAAGGAGAACTATGTGAACTTCAATGGGTTTATCTTTGACACACTGTTGGGGTCAAGGGTTCAATCTCCACTGGGGATGCAGGACTAAAAATGTAAGCGCTCATAGTGTTGTAAGGCTTTTTGGATTAAAGCATCCACCAAATGGTTTGTATTATCACTGTTTTAATTGTGCAAGTCAGTTTCTCTTTGCCAGGGGTTTTCCCTGGCTTCTTTTGGAAGCAGGAGGTGTGATGATAGCACGGAGGAGCCCTTAACTCACCTGGACCAGCTGTGGCAGCCGACTGTAGTCATATAGTTTTCTGATATTGTCATTTTACAGTTACATAGCCCGTCATGGAGGGTCACAGCCTGTGGGCTGGGTGCTAACTAGCATTAATAGCTGTGTGACGATGGCACATGCATGAAACACCAACACTAAACTACCTTTTTTGGGCTGCCCTCTTACTTAGTGAAGCATGTAGGTGTTCTTGCAAACTGAGAAACCTCTTGTCTGTTTGAGGAAGGAGCTGAAAATAGTGTAACCCTGCCTATCCCTTCACTTTTATTCTTTTCTCTGTTACTCTTCTTGGGAATCAACCAAATAAGAAGAAAAGCTGTGCGGGTGAGATTTTGGCAGCACAGTGCTACTGCATATAGAGTTGTTTCCTCATGTGGGTGTGTTTAATAGTAAAAGAAGAAAGGAAGAGGAGAGTAGATTCTTTAAATCCTGAGTCCTGCTAAGCGTGACTAACAGGGAATGCAGCAAAATGTTTTGCAATTCGGGCATCTCTCCAGAGATTGTTTTCACATCACAAAAGGGCCACACACTTCTCCTGCTCTATTCTGGGCTTTTATTGTGTTATTCCAATAAGACCCGGGCCTGTGACTCATACAACACTCAGTGATTACAGTGTGGCTTGAGTAGTTGTACAGTCTACACTCACTAGTGGGGCTTAGCCGTTACACCTGCTGTACAGTGGCCTGTTACATAAATTCTTTCTCCACTCAAACAAAGTGCATGCTCTCTGCTGAACGTAGTATTTTTCCCCACATTTGCAATAGCCCACAGTGTTTCGTTTATTTTAAAAAAAGCCTATGAAATGTGTCACTGTGTTATAAACACACGAGAGCCTACATCAGGTAAACCAGAGCTTATACAACGGTGCCATTTCTCTGCTGGTGATGGTAAGAGCTGTGTCACTGTTTCATGATGCCGTAGTTGTAGTGTTAATCACAGTGAGTTCAGGGGATTTTGACTTCTAGTGTATATAAGCAGTTTCTTTTTATAGTGTGCCACTATAAGTGCGCACACTCTGGAGGGAGAAACCAGAGGAGTGTCCTACTTGCCCACATCTTTTGGGAGACATAGTGTGTGTGTGAGTCTACGTTTGTGTGTGTGTCAAGTGAACAGAGATCTTGTTTATTGCTGTGAAAGTCAATTGTGAATTGTGAAGGTTTTATGACAGATGTATGTATGTTAGGCACCGTGAAATACGCCTGGGAACAAGAGGGCAGAGTGAGTCCTTACATTACGAGACTGGAAGGGATTAGAGGAGACCGTGATATCTGCAGCATAGTTTATATAGGATGGAGGGATGGAAGTGTAACTGTTTCTTTTTGTTCAGACTGATCACTCTATGTGAGGGTTCAGACCTCTGACCTCTCAGCTGAGATATTTTGTGCTTATCCTCACAAAAGACATCTTAGTGTAAGTCCATTTCCACTACAGTGTTTTTTCTTATTTATTTATCAATTACTTACATTTGGCGAAAGTTAAACTTAAATAGGTTTAATAAAGTATTCGAAAGGAATGTAACCTGATAAACAAATTCAAAACTGGAGTTAGATTAGATGCTGTCAAACTCTGACCTGCCTTCAACCAGAGGCAATAAAATACAAAACAGAGACAACACTATCCAGGTCTGGGGCATACAAACATCAGCTCCTACATCACTGCCCCTATGGGGTGTCCAACTCAAACCATAAATACGTTAACCTCATTTTTATCACTGTCTACTTTCTACTACTTTCTCTTTCCCAGTTTATTACCCCGTCGGTGAGATCCAAGTGGCACACTGACTTCTGCTACTTCTGCACTTGCGATGTCACTGATCTAGGAAGCCCAAGACTGTAATGCATATTTTATTTGGTTGCACACCCAAACATACACTGTGCACTTCAGTGAGCTACAGCAGCAGCAGGTTTTTGGGACTGTGGCAGATGATGAGTAGGGGTGAGGGAGGTGTGGGGGGTGTGAGCATAGCAGGGCTTTAGAAGTGCTGATACTAGGAGATGAACACATCAACAGCAGGACAACAATAACACATACAAACACGCACACATATATTTATATACTGTATATAACCCACTGCACCTGCTAATCCACCTGCTTCAGTCACAGCAGTTTACACATTAAACAGGTGGTCAGGTCTGCTCTGTCAGGCACGAGACAGAAACAAAGTGACACAACTGTTTGGCAAACTGCTGCATGTGTGTGTGTGTGTGTGTGTGTGTGTGTATACAGGCTGAATGATTAGATCTGTCATCTTACCTTCAAAATGATAAAGGGCTCTACTGCATGTAGACTTCCTGTGTTCCAGTTGCCACTCATTTGGACCAAAGACATTCAAGTGAACTGGATTTTAGACATTGTGTAATACTATAAATGAAAATGAGACAGTCAAACCCCCATTAAAGTTAGTATTGGAACCAAACTCATACAGTGAGCCTGTTCCACTTGTCTCTAACTACCAGGCTACACACAAATAAACATACCGTGTAAAACAACCAAAAAGGACCATGGCAGTGTGTACATGCAAGCACTGTACAGTATATGTGTAAAACCACCAAAATAGACCATGGCATTGTGTACATGCAAGCACTGTACAGTATATGCTCCTTAGCTAATAAATAATCATATAGTAAGCATACTAAATAATGAGTACTTGTCATTTTAGCTGATGATATTCAAATACATATTGTTGGCAATAGTGATTTTTGTATAATAGATTTTTGTATGCAGTTGTCAGTTTCAGGCAGTGCAGTGCTGGTTTTCATTCATCTATAAGCAGTGGTTTGAAAATCATAAAGCAGACTGTTGTTATAGAAAAGTACGGTACAAATG